GTAGACGAGAATCGCCAACATAGTTTCGAGCAGCAGCCGCAGGAGCGCTGCTAAGCAGGAGCGACAGCGCCGCCAAGTGGCGAGTTGGGGAACCCAACTCGGATTGACGAGGAGACTCTGCGCAGGCGCACTCCCGGGCAAGGTAGGTTGATGTGCTTCGAGCACATAGATAACTAGGCGTCGTTTGGCCATCATATAGGTACATTCAAGGGATATTATAGGTTAAACGGCAGCCTGTTACAAACGAAATTATTTTTAGAAATTTAAATTTAAGGGTAAATTACAAGATTTTAATTCTCTAATTCGAAAAAATATAATTATATTTTATGATCATACCAATTTCATTATAATATTAATAAATAATTATATTAATCGGTTTTTATTATATAGCTAAATAATTGAAATAAATTGAACTATTATTCTAATTTTATTTTAATCTTTATTGCTATTGCATCATTAGAAAACTTTATATTTAATAGCTGAAATATCAGCTAATTTTGAATTTGATTTAAAAAGAACATATTGCTTATTCCACTTTATCTTAATTAGGCTTAATAATAATAATTTTAGGATTTAAAAAAATTGAACTAGCTTTTTTCCATTTAATTTTTTTTTTACAAGGAGTTGCGGAATTCTTTTTGCGGATTCCCCAGTCTTGCTGATTGAGGGGTTATGTGGACCCCCCCCCCCCCAAATCAGGCCTACCCACTAACCCGTCATCTTCTTAGTGTCCTTCCCCCAGCCAAGCACTATGTTAATATTACTTCTGACTTGAGGTTCTGTCTGCGTTCGTCTATTCGTGTCGTTCCTCCGTATCTCGTTACGTCGCGTCACTTCGTATGCTCAGTCATCTGCCAGGCAGTCGTCCACGTTCTTACGACGTCTAAGTATAGTTTCTGTATAGGTCGCTACCTAAGCGACTAAGCGCCACCATTCGGATCATGCAGCATCACGGCCACAATGTTATCGTGGGTGATGCTGCCGACTGTTCCTTCCAGTTCCTGTCTGAGTCTTGTCCAGCGGTCACACGCGAAAAACGTGTGTTGTGCGTCGTCTCGTTCGTATCTCTGTTCATATTGTGAAGATACCGTAGGAAGTACCCGTGACTGGTCAAGAGCTGAGTGACGAAAAATTCACATCGTCAAATTTTCTTCCGAGCCACAGCCTCAAGTCCCGTATCAATTGTCTCGTCCAGTTACCACATCGTTCCTCTGTCCATCGGCCTTGCCAAATATCAATTGTCTTGTCGCGCTCAGCGATTGTCGCGTTCTTTCGTCCTATGTCCGCGCTACTCCCGTAAATCCTTTTGCGTTCAAAGGCCAGAAGATCCACGGGTATTACGCCAGCCACCACCAAAACAGCCTGCGCAGAGACTGTTCGGTAGGAGCAAGCGATTAACAGTGCACTATGTCTCTGTACCATCATCATCGACTTACAGTATTTCTTTGTCTTCAGGGAGTCTGCCCATATTTCCACGCCGTATAGAAGGATCGAGTGAGCTATCGCTATTAACAGTCGTCGTTTTTCCGATCTCGATCCCGTCGTATTTGCCATCAGGCGACTCAAGGATTCTCAATCCTCTCTGCCGCTTTCCGGGTTGTTTTCTGTATATGAGGTCATTTTCATATATCGAGGGTTACCCCAAAGTACTCGACTTCCTTCTTGATCTCCATCTAGCATGTCCCCACCCTCATGTGCAGTATCGTCTGTATGCGTCTTCTCGTGAGAAACATCAGTTCCGTTTTTTCTGTTGCGAGTTGTAGTCCGTGGTCTGTCATCCATTGTTCGACTCGTCTCATGGTCTGGTTCAACGTTAGCTGCGCCAGCTCGTGGGGGCCTCTTTGTAATCAACTCCGCACGTCATCAGCGTAGCCGACGAGGATTACTCCGAGCAGCATCCCAAGCCGAAGCAAGATATCATATAAGCCATTCCACAAGTCAGGTCCTAGTATCAAAAAAAAAACATAAGATATGCACAGATAATATCAAAACAAAATGATCAGAGTGAGATAGAAATATCAGAACAAACAGTTTTTCCAGCAGAGCTAAGTGAAATACCATCGAAGTAAACAAAAATTGTCAACTCGAACACATGATAGGCAGTTGATGCAAAGAATGGATACTATGTTAAATATTTTAATTGTACTACTGAATAAATTGGCATAACGAGCAGTGTAAAATTCGCTATCTGGCCTTATGCAGAGGCACCTTGAATTAAAAGCATTTTTAATCTATGAAAATATAGACATCATGTGAATATTAGAAACACACATTACATGTAAAAACTATCTTAATATACCAAACTACACTCTATAACAAAACCAAGCACCCGCTTAACGAAGCACACTGAGATACTGAGATTATAAATGAAACAAAAATAAACCACTGCATCCACACTTACACTAGTAAAATCTACTTATAAGCAACCAGTGTAATCATCAAGGATAAAAACGGACCAACGACAATATCAGTTATTTACTTTATTCCAAATTAAACAATTACAAATAAATATAATAGTACTCTGTTATGAGGAAAGCCATCGAAAATAAACATTACTGCATTGATGTATTTCTGGATGTCGCCGAGGGTTCGGACAAGGTTTAGCATAAAGGGCTACTGCACAAGCTCAAGAGATTTTTTCTTCAACTCCAGTATGAATTGTTATAGTCTTATTTACACAATAGAACCTATCAAATTAAAATCAATAAAAACGTATAAAAACATCAGTTAATAAAAGCAGGAGTGTGGCAGGGCAATGTTCTAGGTCCAACACTATCCGTTATACACCTCGGATCTACCAAAGTCTACTCATATTTTGACAGGAACATATGAAGATGATCCGAAAATTTTGAACAGTATACCCAGAGGCAGCAATAGCAACCAAAGATTACAAAACTACATAAAAAATCACCATAAAAATTGTAAAGTAAAAGAAAGCAAATCAATAAACACGACATTTAGACTTCAAAAAGATACCTATCCTTCTATTTTATGAGACGATAAATACGAGATGTGTTCGAAAAGTAAGGTGACTTTGTATTTTTAAGAAAAAATATTTATTTATTTATCAATATTTATGTTGTCCCCTTTAAAGTAATCCCCCTCAGATACAATACACTTATGCCAACGGTTTTTCCAATCCTCAAAGCACTTCTCATAAGCACTTTTCGGTATAGCCTTGAGTTCTTCCAGCGATGCAGTCTTTATCTCTTCAATCGTTGCAAATCTCCGTCCTTTCATAGGTCTCTTTAGTTTTGGGAACAAGAAAAAGTCACATGGGGCCAAATCCGGTGAATATGATGGCTGAGGCATGATTGTGGTGTTGTTTTTGGCCAAAAAATCTCTCACAAACAAAGATGAGTGAGCAGGGGCATTATCGTGATGCAAAAGCCATGAATTGTTTTTCCACAATTCTGGGCGTTTTCTTCGTATTGCTTCTCGCAAACGGCGCATAACTTCAAGATAATACTGTTTATTGACCGTACATCCATATGGTAAGAACTCCTGATGCACCACGTCATGGTAATCGAAGAAAACAGCGAGCAAAACTTTGACATTTGATCTAATTTGGCGTGCTTTTTTCGGTCTTGGCTCATCTGGGCTCTTCCATTGGGATAATTGGACTTTGGTTTCGATATCATAATCATATACCCATGATTTGTCACCAGTTATGACCCTTTTTTAGTAAATCTGGGTCGTCGTTGACGTCATTCAACAGTTCTTGAGCGATGCTCATGCGACGGTTCTTTTGGTCAAAATTTAACAACTTCGAAACAAGCTTCGCTAACACACGTCTCATGCCCAAAACGTTAGAAAAAATTTCATGGCACGAGCCAAGCGATATACCAACATCCTCAGCAACTTCTCTGATAGTGATTCGACGATTTTCCAGAACAATTTTCTTCACTGCTTGAACGTTTTCATCAGTTGTTGACGTGCTTGGGCGTCCAGAGCGAGGCTCGTCATTGGCATCTTCCCGGCCATCTTGGAAGAGTTTATACCACTTGTAAACATTTTTTTTACTCAGAACAGTTTCACCGTATGCCACCGTCAACATTTCAAGTATTTCGGAGCACTTTATTTTATTTTTTACACAAAATTTGATGCAAATCCTTTGATCCATATTTTTCGATAGCAAGAAATCGCCGAGCACGCAAAACACTTATAACCTTTACGCCTTTCACAACCAAACAAAAAATGCTATATACTTGAAACTTGGTACAGATGTTCGGGAAGAGTGTACCAACATAACAAAACAAAAAAATGGATAATCGAAAGTACGTTGCACGTGAAATTTGAAAATTCACCTTACTTTTTGAACACACCTCGTATATCAAGAGGGAAAAAGAGAGAGAGTGAATACGAAAGGACCTATCACTCTCGTTATAAAGTATAATTATTCTTTTATTCTTTTATTAACTATTAATATAGAACGCATATTGTAGTTTACTTTCAAAGTTATTATTTTTGAAAAATATATTTATTTTATATAAGATATTGTTGTTGTATTTTCGTCTCTTCTGAATCTGCGCTTCCAATAAATTGTGTGAATAGAAAATCATAGAAAAACTACAGACAAAAATCATATTTAATATTTTTTCGAAAGCTTTAACTTATTGTACGTATGGCATTTATGATGCTTTTAGATTTATATCTGGTATATTACATTTCAGTTTTTTTCATTATGTGGTAGACAGTATTTTTAATAAACCGCGTTATGCAATTATTTTTTTGAAAAACTAAAAAATTGATTATTTATGGAAGTATTTGACTATGAATTTAATAAACGCTTTTCTTCTTTGAATTATCATTTCTTGGGATGTTTCATATCGATATTTTTTCATCTAATATAAAATTTACATGATTATAAATTTTTCTATAAATATGTTATTGTATTTCAAAGAAATCGTTCTTCTTATTTTTATACCTATTTGAAAAATAACATATCTAAATATCATACTAATTCTTTTAAATTAATCAAATTTCAATCAAAATTCTAGGTATTGCCTTTTTTGCTACGAAGAAATAAAGAAGACGTGTTACAGGACCTACCACCAAAGATTACTCAAGATTATTACTGTGATCTTTCAGTTTTGCAAAAAACTCTTTATGAAGATTTCAAATTATTACATTCAGCATCTTTAATAAATAACGCAACTGTGGCAGATAATGCTCATGGCGGACACGTGTTTGAAGCTTTAAGATATCTCAGAAATGTCTGCAACCATCCAAAACTTGTTTTGAGTCCAAAGCATCCTCAGTATCAAACGGTAGTTATCAATTATATATATATATATATAATCATGAGATGAACTTATTAAATGAGAGTGTCTTGAGCTAAAATATATACTCGTGTTTTTCACAATAATTTGTACTTTTTAGAAAATTATAGCTCATAACATGCAAAATAATAAATATAATATAATACTAACAAACTCGATGTAATTACAGTTGTAATATTCAAAGATATTTATTAGTGTGATGTTATGGATTTCATAATGTTATCTGCTTCAAACTATAAAGCAAATGCACATTCACAATAATATTAACAAATTAAGTTTAGTAATGTAATCTGACTGATATATCAAGTTTCTATGCAAATTAATCATAATTTCATGTATAATTCGTTCATATTTCATATATTTTACAATTTTGATAACATAAATTGAGAAAACATTTGCATTAGTCATTTTTGTAAAACTTCTTTTAAAAGTATCAACTATTTCATCCATTATCGATAGAATTAATTAGAATTCCATTTACAAATTACATTCGATATAATTATTCAAAAGTATTCAAACATCTCCTTATCATCAAGTTTAAAAAACAATTAAATACTCAAATTTGTTTAGTTGATTTATAAACCATTTGAACTTTATTAATAAAATGAAGGTGAAATCTTTTCATTATTATTAAGAATTCAATAAATCAAAATATGTGTAAAAAATATGTCATAATATCCAAAATTCTAGCAAGAATTTTTAAATAGAACCTAAGGCACTCTTAAAAATATATATCTTTAAGTATATTATTGTGATTTAGTAAAAATTATAAACGACTATTGTTTTAGCTAATACTGATTTACAGTATAACCATTTACGGATTCTGCTCATTCTACTGATTCCATTCGCCCAACTATATCCTTTGCCCGATTCAATTTGCCAAATTCTATTTGCCCAACTTTAGTTATCCGATAATACCTATTAACCGATTAAAAATAAAATGTAAGTCACTGTAGCTATATTAGATTAGTGTTTGTTTATCTTGGTTCAGTCTACGGTTTTCTACTACTTCCGACTACTTTTGTAAATTCCGCCATGGATTTGGATCTTACTAAACTCCGATTACTCGACCGTAAATTACTGTTCAACGGTTTTACATTCGTACGCTAGTACCAAGGTCAAGGAGAAAATGAATTGAGCATGCCAAAGACTATAGCGCGGTGAATGCTCTATTTAACTAATTAATATTCAGCGTAAAGACGATATAGTTATTGTTAAAAAAGGAAAACAACATGATCACCTGGCTAATCTAGAAGAGGCACCAACTATTCATCAAACCTGATTTGAAAAAGAAAGCTGAAGAATACTCCGAATTACCACCAGCGTAGGTTATATTTTTTGCATGAGAAAATTTTTTCAAAATATATTTCACGTTCATTAGATGTTACATATATATATCTTGAAGGTTTGACACTCAATGTTCTAAGCAAATTACTAGAGAGAACATCTTAATAAGTTATTACGAAAACCTCGCTGATGTTATTTACCTGAAAATCCAAAAACTATACTTCAATAAGGTAAAATTCCGAATCGGTTCAAAATAATATTGGCTAGTAAGTAGTTTTCGTTATACGGCTCGATAAAAGATTATATCATCACACACATTAGGGCTAGAAGACTAGTAGTTTTTGAAAATGCGCGTAACAAGAAGTTATTGACTTCCTTTACTGTCTATTATTTATTTAGTTATGTATTACTCGACATTATTTTTCAATTGCTATTGTTGACAAATTTTAATAATTATAGGTTCAGAAATGAAACCAAAACGACGGTAAACGGGTGATCCTATTCAAATCGCATTTCTTTCATTTAGACTCTGACGTTATCGAAAGATTTAGTTTAATTCAAAAAATTTGTGGAACTGATGCTTGCTAACTAAGGCTGTGTTTCCGATAGATTACATTATCTCTGCCTTTGAATCACTGCAAGACTAAGGGCTAGAGAGCGATAAGTCCGATTAATATCATTATTTCAACGATAATTATGTCAGTTGTCCATCTCGTGTTCTAACAAGATATTCCATAGCTGTATAGAACCAATACGAAACTATACTACAAGGTCTGTAGCGCACGAACAGTATCAGTGAAGGATACGTAACATACTGTTTGATTCCCTTATAGTTTTTTTAAATGATAAAATTTTGTAATAATGGAAAGAAGGGACATAGTGAAAACGGAAAATTTACTTAATTTTAATTATATTCAGCAACGTTTCGTCAGCACATTTGCTGACCTCTTCAGACTTTATTAACAGAAAAACAACAAATTAACAATAAAGTTGCAAATGTAATTTTAATGGCATATAATTATATGTATATGTATGTACCTGATTTCTCTCGTAGTCAAATTGCTATAGGCTAAAACGAATAGCTCGTAGCCAGTCACGTTACAATATAGTAAAAAACCAAGTATTTCAACACATATACAGGGTGATTCAAAAACATATGTAAGTATGGATTCCGTTGGATTCGTCTTAAAAAGTTATTCAAGACGCCATTATTAGTTTTTTTTCCGATAATTGGATAATTAGATAATTAACTTGAAAGATCGACCAATCAACGCGCGGCTTTAAAAGCCAGAGCGAGCACGGAGCGGCTAGGGGGGCTAGCAAGCGCGCGCCGCGGCTATATGGAAGCGGTGCTCAACCTTGATGCGCGACATGAGCTCTCCAAGCCGATAGACTCATATTCATTTTATAGATCGAGTCCTATCGATTGATCGACAATAATATAAAATTATGAAGACGCACGATTAATTGACAAAATCAATAATTCAATTATAATTATTTCATAGACCAAGTAAATAATATAGCATCACATACGCTTTAATCCATGCGAAAAGCAGCGCCCAAAAGCCAGATTGTTAAATGATAAATTCGTCAACGTGATTATTCGCACCAAGATTATGGTAATTACAAGACTGCAATCATGTAATTACGTCACTTGTAGAGTGATGTTCTTGGGGTTAGGTTCTGAGTGTCAGTCCTCAAAAAAGTCCTCGAAAAAGTCCTCTTATTATCAATAATTATTAATTAATTTCAGCAAATAGGTGTTTGTCGCAGTACTTAATTGCAATTCAACATTGTTACTTAAGACTAGGGAATCAATAATAAATTTATATGACGCAAAAATACCGAAATCTTATGATTAATTATTTGTGAATTCGTCTGATTTATTATGAAACTACTATGGCTGCTAAAACACTATTTAGTTTTTTTTTATAATATTAATTACAATATTTGTTTAATTTTGAACACTATGATTTGATTCGGAGCTTAAAATGAATATTAATTTATTTATTTAACATTATTTTAATAGACTCATCTTAACGGCCTTAAAACGAAAATAGAAATTTTCCAGTATTTCGGGGAGAAATTTTCTCAGAAAAATTTACGCAACTCCAGGCTAGTCGAAAAATTAACCTGACACTCAGAACCCAACCCCAAGAACATCACTCTACAAGTGACGTAATTACATGATTGCAGTCTTGTAATTACCATAATCTTGGTGCGAATAATCACGTTGACGAATTTATCATTTAATAATCTGACTTTTGGGCGCTGCTTTTCGTATGGATTAAAGCGTATGTGATGCTATATTATTTACTTGGTTTATGAAATAATTATAATTGGATTATTGATTTTGTCAATTAATCGTGCGTCTTCATAATTTTATATTATTGTCGATCAATCGATAGGACTCGATCTATAAAATGAATATGAGTCTATCGGCTTGGAGAACTCATGTCGCGCATCAAGGTTGAGCACCGCTTCCATATAGCCGCGGCGCGCGCTTGCTAGCCCCCCTAGCCGCTCCGCGCTCGCCCTGGCTTTTAAAGCCGCGCGTTGATTGGTCGATCTTTCAAGTTAATTATCTAATTATCCAATTATCGGAAAAAAAACTAATAATGGCGTCTTGAATAACTTTTTAAGACGAATCCAACGGAATCCATACTTACATATGTTTTTGAATCACCCAGTATATATTCTTCATCTTTCATCCCTTCCTCATCGATCTTAATAAAGGCTTATAAATATGACTAAGTATTGTATATCCTCTTTTCTATTTAAAGTGTTTTTATGTAAGCCGATGTGCAACATTTCGGATATTCTGTGTTTCTTATAATTCTTTTCTTAATTCGATATCTTAGCTTTGTCCCAGTCAAATTCCTGCGAGAGAGTTCTTCTATGTGTAGCTACTACTGTATCTGAGTCAATGTTTGAAAGTATATTTCAACATATTGTAACGGGGTATGACCGTTTAATAAATTATATCGCGCGATTACCTTGAAAAGACACGCGAAATTGTCAAAGCTCACTGCTATTACGGGAGAGCACGAGAAAGCATACGCCGGTCAACCGATAATCATTTATAACCTAAGCTAAATTGAGTGGAAGCTATGTGAGATGAGGGAATTAATGAAAACACTTGTTAGTAAGGTAAATCGGATCTTTTATTATCCCTCAAAACTCACAATAGGTCGGCCCGCGCGTTTGTTTACATGCACGCTCGCTCGCCGACATCACACTTTGCCGGTACGCTCGCCGCTCTTAGTTGCTAGAGCCGTTACATGCACGCATCGAATGTTAGAATCGGGTTATTATTAATATAATCGCGATCGCGAAACTAAGCTGGCCAGCTTACCTTTTACTTGCAGGCGGTTGAAAAAAAACCACGGATACCTCGCACAGCACGGGACAGTTTTAATATTGTTTTATTGTCCGCGAGACGCGAATGCGCGCACACACTGGTTTCGCCCTCGATGGCGAAACCTCACACACTCTCTCTCTCTCTCTCGTTCGTAGCTGGGTAGCTCCTTAGCGGCAGCACTCCTGGATCACTAATTATAGCTGTTTTTAAGGCGTGTGGATGTCAAGGGCACGTGGATTGGCGGCGATAGTAGCGATAGCGGGCGGACACTAGGATGGTCTAGACTCCACTGGTTCAAATCTTGTCGCGCGCGTTCCGTCTGCTCGCGTGCCGAATTCCTTCGTTACCTATTCTGTCCCCCCGGCAGGTGCTGCCCTCACATGCAGCAATTAAGCTAAATGGTCAGCGCTAATTTGACGTTTACCGTCACAATATATAAATATTTTAAAATATGTCACATATAAAATAATAAATATAGAGATAGTTGGAAACATATTGATATCATTATATTTACAGTTTGAAACATTTATTGATTTTTTTTGCATTATAATGTTATTTTTCATTAAATGGCATTCTTTGAAGTTCAAATTGAAAAATCTGAACTCGCCGTCATAAGAATTTTATTAGATGAAAATTAATTATTTTACTCTATAAATTTACCACGCAGTGTATTAATTCATTTAATCTGATCAATTATTTCAATCACATGTTAAAGCATATATTTTTTTGAGCAACAATTGATATAAATAAAGTTGTGATTCAATTGACTTACGAGTATTCCACACTTGTCTCTCATACTAAGTACAGTAAATAATTTTTAATGAGGAATAATACAGTCTTGATAATGTATTTTTCTCATATATAATCAAATATTCGAATTTATTTACTCCAAGCACTAAAAGAAATGATCAAACGATCAATGATTTAGTAAGTAATAGAAGAATATGTAACCTTTGTTGAATTCTTTTAAATTCAATCTCTTCAAATTATTTTATAATTTGACGAATAAACGGTTCTTTTAATGTAATGTTCCGTTGACTTTTTCTGTTAGGATTTATTGCTATATTATTTATAACGAGATGAATAATTAAAAAAAATTACGTTGTTTAAATCTGAGCAAAAAAAATATCAAATATTGAGGGAGATTAATGTTTTTGTTTCAGGTAATTAATATGTTGAAACAACAACACAGCACTCTTGCTGATATCGAGCATGGAGCAAAACTTCCAGCATTGAAGCAATTACTACTGGACTGCGGCATTGGACTCGCTCAACAGCACCAACAACATCAATCAGTAACTAGCACACATAATTCTGTTTGTAGTACAGTTATAGATAATCAACAATCCCAAACACAACTGGTCAGTCAGCATCGAGCACTGATATTCTGCCAATTAAAGGCTATGTTAGATATAGTTGAATATGATTTATTACGGGTTCATCTGCCAAGTGTTACTTACCTTCGATTAGATGGTAGTGTCCCAGCAGCACAGCGTCACTCTATTGTAGCCCGTTTCAATGCCGATCCGTCGATCGATGTGTTGCTTTTAACAACTCAAGTAGGAGGCCTGGGATTGAATCTCACCGGAGCAGATACGGTGATATTTGTTGAACATGATTGGAACCCTATGAAGGATTTACAAGCTATGGATCGTGCGCACCGCATTGGTCAAAAGAAAGTTGTTAATGTTTACAGACTCATTACGCGACAGACACTTGAAGAAAAAATTATGGGTTTACAAAAATTCAAACTACACACTGCAAACACTGTAATTTCCACTGAGAATTCTTCCCTCGAAACTATGAGGACAGAACAGGTAGGTAATATCATCATTTGCTTGTTAATATCACCAAAATATCATTTCCGAGGGTAATTTTTCAGACGAAAAGTTAGTATTTGCCCTATTTCCTTAGTTCCAACATAAGTTTTGTCGGTTGATACAATTATGAAAAATAACTGATCTTACAGTAGTAGATATTTTAGTGATGTCATTTTCATTTCCAAGAACTTACGAAGAGATTTTTATATTCAGGGCAAAAAATTAATGCAAACTTTGTCATTTCCTTTTAGAAAGTATTGAATAATTTTATTTAAAATTTTGATTAGTACAATCCTCAAGATTTAAAAAAACCCATCACGAGTTGTTGATATTCCGTTCGGTATTTGATCCATTGACTTTGCTAGGCGTAAGCTCTGGTCATGGTTTACAGCAGATAAATTCGCTTCCATTTGTCCTCCTGAGAGCAATTCCTAGCCAAGGAGCTGAAATATCTCGGTGACCCTATTAGTCCCTAATAGTATTAGAAATAGTCACGAAATGCACACTCTTCTCTTGATGTTGCCGGGTTGCTGTTAGTTGGTTCTGGTAGTTTTCGTTCTAGGCGCTTTTCACAAGTGCATATACGTTGTTCTCAACATACCGATATGCTCGGATGCCTCCACCATTCTAATGACGTGGAACAGCTGGCTCAGCCTCGCCATCTCGATAATCTCGACGATTCGTCCCGATATCGCGCTTTTACGATGGATATTTGTCTGGGCTGCTTTCATCCATTCTTCTGTTGTCATTATTCTGTGGCTCATACCTTGCAGCATCTGAACCTCAGTGAGAGTTGAGATTGCGTATCGTCAAGTGTCTTCAATCAACTGGATTTATAATCTTTGAAGGAGATGTTCTCATATCGACCCTACAAATACGATTCAATCCACAGGATAGACACTTTCAAAAAACCCATGTCAAAGCTTATGCAGTAATTTAGAAGGTAGGATAGTGGGAAATATTTTGCTCAAATCAAACAATATCAACAAGGATACTTTCTTTTTGTTAATATCCATTCGCATGTCATCTGTTAGTTTAAGTAAGGTCGTTTACGCATTATGGTGCTTTTAATATCCGATCTGAAGAGGATAAAAAATATTGTCATTGTTTAGATCCTATATAAAAACACTTTTTACAAAATAAAAAATTGCGTGAATGCTTTTATAAATACGTTATATAAATATTTTATAAATACGTTATACATTTTATTATACTCGTACGTTATCTTTCAGTATTATCTTTCATTTAACAATAAAAAAAATAACGCATTCATTACGTTTGTTACGTTATTACTACGCTTTTTACTAGTAATACTCTTACTATTATATTACCAGCCTACTCTACTATTCCACTATTCTACTTGTTATTACTTTTCTTTTTATAATACACTATTTAAATTAATCTTATTTAAATATTTTTACAATTGTTTCTAAACTTTTGAAACAAGTAAAATCTATCTATAGAACTGTATCTATCTATAGAAATAGGATGAATACTGTAAATTATTTTCAGACGATGTACATAAATTACACAAGCCGACAAGGAAAAAAACCCAGAAACAAGACAGTACGTTCCCAAAGGTTTTTGGTGCGCTGAAACCGAATCGGACCTCAGAATTGCTCCATCACCCTGGGTTTTCGAGAAAACCTAACCTAACAGTTCAAAAAACACGATTTTTCACTATATTTCGCGTAGTATTACGTCGTAAGCCAATTTTATTTAAAAAAAACGAGTAATGCTATCTCAAAGTACTACTCTTACCCTTCATAACCCTTTTTTCAGATTTAAAAAATCTTTTTTTTCCATCGAGATATCGTAGATTGAATTTGAGTGATTTAGCGATTTCGTTACAGCACGAAATATTGACGAATTTCCGAATAAGGAGTTATAGTGTAATTATATGTTTTTTGGGTCACTGAATCCAAAATTAACCTCAGAATTACTCTATAATCTCAATTCCCTTAACCCTAGAGCCCCATAACCTGCGACGCTGTAACCCCTGACCGACTTACTCCAAAGTCCTCAACTCTCGAGCCTTTAACCTGCGAAGCTATAACCCCCGACCTTCACACCCCAATTTCCTCAACCCTCGAGCCCTATTACCGCGACGCTATAACCCCCAACCCTCATACCAAAATTCGCTACGCAGAATACCTCAAGCCTCCAAATTATATTCAACCCCCGAGCCCTGCAAGTCTGCAACCTCAGACTCCTTTGCCAGAATTTCCTCAATCAGCACTTCAAGCTGCTATCGTATAACCGTATGTCTCTACATTTCAATCCGTTCAATATCCAAGCCTTGTATTCTACGCAGCTTTCAATTACGCGTTTTAAATCTCATTTATTCAGGTTGTGAGTGTTGCATCTGAATATCTGCAACCCTACAGTTTTTCACTTCTTTTTTTTTATGAAAACGCTGTCGTTTATCTTGAAATGAACGTTTAAGAGATTTGCGTCTATGATCATCTGTCAATGTATCGTATCGGTGTAGAGCCCAGCAATAGTCAGCCATCATGCTCTCATTCCATCTACCTTGATAATGTTCCTCTTTGTTTCTGAAATCTTTCACCCATTTCTTCACTGAACGCTCCAACATTGTCCGGAAAGTATTTCAAATGTGAAAACAAAAAGTGTATTTTCAGGCTCATCAAACACCCTAATTTTTGAAAATTCTGTAGCATTGTCGACACAATAGTTTTGTATTTAGGGTCCCGGTGGTTTCCGAGAAAATTCTCGGTGACACTTTTGAAACTTATCCAAGCATTTCTCTCATTAGTCGTCATTGTCAAGAGGAATTCATCATCTTTCATAAGTGCTCGAATGTCTGGCCCTACAAATATGCCTTCCTTAATTTTCGCGTCAGACAATTTAGGAAATTTGCCCTGAAGATACTTGTAACATTCGCCTTCCTTATCTAGTGCCTTGACGAATTGCTTCATCAAGCCCAGTTTTATATAGAGTGGAGGTAACAAGATATGTTTAGTATCAACAAGGTTCTCATGGACGACATTGTGTGATCCAACAACCATTCCGATTCTTTTCGTCCATTCTTTCCGAACTCAATGTTCTTCTCGTGCACGACTGTCCCAGAGACAAAAAACAGAGGTGCTTCGTATTTCCAGATTGCAAGCCAACTAATATATTGATCATCTTGAAATCGCCACAAACGAGCCATTTGTGTTCATTGTAATTGATTTTCTCAAGAAGGAATCGAAAGTTATCGTGAGACTCTTTCATCACAGTGGAATGAGCAATGGGAATAGCTGCATACTCATTCCCATTGTGCAGAAGTACTGCCTTGAGACTTTGTACAGAAGCATCCATGAAGAGTCGCCAGTTCTCTGGATTATAACCTCCTTGCACTCCATATAAACTTATGAGATGCTTTATATCGTTGCAGTAAACAAAGTTATCCACGCAAGTAAAATATGGCCGAAATTTAATATCTCTCTTCCTGTAAATAGAAACTTTTGTCTCAGATAATAAAAGATTTCTTTCTTTCAGTCTTGAAGCTAAGAGTTCTGAAGCATCTTTCGGAAGATTCAAATCACGGATCAGATCATACAAAGAATTTTGGTCGAAAAGTTTGGGCTTTTCTGAGTCAGAAAAATCTTCTTCATCACTACTGCTGCTTTTGTCTGTTACCGGAACTTTCCTATCACAGACACAAATTCTTCTACCTTCTTTTACCGCAGAAATGACGTCTATCGTTGTTCCATTGACCCAGCGGTATTCCCCGTCCACCAAACCCGAATTTCTTTAACCCTCGATAGGGCCGGGGGTTATAGCTTCGTAGGTTAAAGGCTCGGGGGGTAAGGAAATTGGTGTGTGAGGGTCGGGGGTTATACCGCAGCAGGTTAAAGGGCTCGAGAGTTAAGGACTTTGGAGTATGTCGGTCAGGGGTTACAGCGTCGCAGGTTATCGGGCTCTAGGGTTAAGGAAATTGAGATTATAGAGTCATTCTGACGTTAAATTTGGATTCAGTGACCCAAAAAACATATAATTACACTATAACTCCTTATTCGGAAATTCGCCACTATTTCGTGCTGTAACTAAATCGCTAAATCACTCAAATTCAATCTACGATATCTCGATGGAAAAAAAAGATTTTTTAAATCTTAAAAAAGGGTTTTGAAGGGTAAGAGTAGTACTTTGAGATAGCATTATTCGTTTTTTAAAATAAAATTGGCTTACGACGTATTACTACCCGAAATATAGTGAAAAATCGTGTTTTTTGAACTTTTAGGTTAGGTTTTCTCGAAAACCCAGGGTGATGGAGCAATTCTGAGGTCCGATTCGGTTTCAGCGCACCAAAAACCTTTGGGAACGTACTGTCTGGTTTCTGGGTTTTTCCATTTTTTAAATTTTGTCGGCCTGTGTTATCAAATAAGTGTACTCTATAGCAAATTGAATTGCAATGTTGTATATTATACAGGCTGCTTATTGTAACGAAAGCTCATTCGTTAACCATTTTGTTTTAGGTGGGCAAGTGAGGCGCACTCGCTCATAGCAATTGAGGCGCGAAGGGGGAGAAGGCAAAGAAATGAAAGTGGGTGGGAATTATATACAAAACACAAATTCGCATTTAAACAAATCTAATTAAATCAAATCAAAATCAATTTACACTTATATTTCAAAACCGTACATCGATAACCGAATAATAATAAACGGCATTACAAAATAAACTCTGAAAATCAGCTTTTACAAACTCTTAATTTAATAAACACAACGATGTTCTTAACATTTATTACAAAAGAGAACAAGTTAACTAACTAATGGCGATTACAAATTTATACAAAACATAACGCGCGGCGCCCGGCAGATGACCGCCTTGACGACGAACCGACTGAGGCTACTTAGCTAAAAGGGAAAGTCTCCCGGCGAGGGATCACCTGGACGATTTCTATTTGAGCGATTTATGACACCGATCGTAATTAGGGCAGGTAGCCGGCGTGTGCACACCTTGGTACCTACTTAATGTTTACAATTACGCTCTG